ACCACCCAACTCATCTGTACCACCCAACTCATCTGTACCACCCAACTCATCTGTACCACCCAACTCATCTGTACCACCCAAATCATCAGCTCAACCCAAATCATCAGCTCAACCCAAATCATCAGCTCAACCCAAATCATCAGCTCAACCCAAATCTTCAGCTCAACCAAAATCATCAGCTCAACCCAAATCATCAGTTCAACCCAAATCATCAACTCAACCCAAATCATCAGCTCAACCCAAATCATCTGTACCACCTAAATCATCAGTTCAACCCAAATCATCAGCCCAACCCAAGTCATCAGTTCTACCCAAATCATCAGCTCAACCCAAATCATCAGTTCAACCCAAATCATCAGCTCAACCCAAATCATCAGTTCAACCCAAATCATCAGCTCAACCCAAATCATCAGTTCAACCCAAATCATCAGCTCAACCCAAATCTTCAGCTCAACCAAAATCATCAGCTCAACCCAAATCATCAGTTCAACCCAAATCATCAACTCAACCCAAATCATCAGCTCAACCCAAATCATCTGTACCACCTAAATCATCAGTTCAACCCAAATCATCAGCTCTGGATCAGAAATGGATCCTTCCCAGCCTACTATCCTTACCCACAGCTTCACCTCTACCTTCCTCCAACCTTGCCTGGAAGTTCATCCTACTACTGTGCTTAGTTCTTTTAGATCTGCGTTTAAATTATTATAACCGAGTTAAATTATTTTGAAGGTATTGAAGTATTGAATGATATTATGATTGATGTTGTGCAAAACTATTACTACCGCTTTATTACTGCCAATTGCTGTTACAATTTGTAGAAACTGATTTATACATTTATACATATGATATCAAAAAATCAAATCTCAAAAATAACAAAGTAACAATCTGCTCTCTTTAATTATTGAAATCCATCCAAGTAAAAAGTTGTATTACCAGAGAGGTTAAATTTAAATTTCAAACAACCTTGTCTACAGCTTCTTGGAAGAAAATGGAACCGGATTCTAGTGGACGTTCTGAAACTGGTAGGGCTACAAAACTAAGTTGGAACACATCTTGTTTGAATACTGTTGAACCAAATTCAACTCTCTGCAACAACACAAGCAGACAAAATTTCTCAAAATCCGTTTTATCTGCTCAACTGGTTCTAAATTCTTGAATCCAGCCAAGGGTATAATGGGTGTTCTGGGAGTGCTAGGGCCACCAAACTTTGTGGGAACACTATTAGGGTCAATACCAAACGATTCCTACCTGTTTTGGGGCCATCCGACGAGTTTTAGAAAAATGTTCATATTTGTTCATTTCGTTCATTCCATGACTCAGGGAGTCTTGGGCGACTATTTTGACGTCAAAATAGTTAGTAAACACATCCCCTACACCGTACAATCATCTCCAGCACTCTGCAGCCCCTTTAACAGACTGAAATGACCGTATCAATATCGGATACTCAGAAACCAGCTTTTTGATACGGAAATGGAATTAAGTCTCTAGTGGGCGTTCTGGGAGTGCTAGGGCCACCAAACTTTGTAGGAACACTAAGGGTCAATACCAAACGATTCCGACCTGTTTTGGGGCAATCCGACGAGTTTTAGAAAAAATTTCATTTTTGTTCATTCCGTTCATTCCATGACTCAGGGAGTCTTGGGCGACTATTTTGACGTCAAAATAGTTAGTAAACACATCCCCCTACACCGTACAATCATCTCCAGCACTCTGCAGCCCCTTTAACAGACTGAAATGACCGTATCAATATCGGATACTCAGAAACCAGCTTTTTGATACGGAAATGGAATTAAGTCTCTAGTGGGCGTTCTGGGAGTGCTAGGGCCACCAAACTTTGTAGGAACACTATAAGGGTCAATACCAAACGATTCCGACCTGTTTTGGGGCAATCCGACGAGTTTTAGAAAAAATTTCATTTTTGTTCATTCCGTTCATTCCATGACTCAGGGAGTCTTGGGCGACTATTTTGACGTCAAAATAGTTAGTAAACACATCCCCCTACACCGTACAATCATCTCCAGCACTCTGCAGCCCCTTTAACAGACTGAAATGACCGTATCAATATCGGATACTCAGAAACCAGCTTTTTGATACGGAAATGGAATTAAGTCTCTAGTGGGCGTTCTGGGAGTGCTAGGGCCACCAAACTTTGTAGGAACACTATAAGGGTCAATACCAAACGATTCCGACCTGTTTTGGGGCAATCCGACGAGTTTTAGAAAAAATTTCATTTTTGTTCATTCCGTTCATTCCATGACTCAGGGAGTCTTGGGCGACTATTTTGACGTCAAAATAGTTAGTAAACACATCCCCCTACACCGTACAACCATTTCCAGCACTCTGAAACTACTTTAAAAGACTGAAATGACCGTATCAAAATGCCTCAAAAACCGTATCATCTGGTTCCACAATCTCGGATTCATCTTCTGGACTTCAGATGTAACACGCCAAAACCAAAGTATTAAAGCTCTTTGGCAAGCATCGAGTACGATACGACGCGCAATTGTGCTTGAAGTGACGACGCGCACGAGCGATAAGCTAGGAGCTACTTATCGCTCGGTCGACCGAGCCATAAGTCTTATCGCTCGTGCGCGCCACCCGACTACCATGAGCCTAACTTTAACCATGAATAGGTGACAGTGTATTTTGATACACATTATATTTCCTATTCATGCGTGTTTGCCGGATGATGAATCACTCCACTCTACTGTCACGTGACTTTTTTACCCCGTTCTCTAGGTGTTCTCTCTGGAGACTACAGGTAAGTAGAGTGTAGACCCCCGCGCACTGGTAAGGACTATTACTCGGTATAGCTCGGACCGACCTAATTATATTAGGGGCCATCCACTTAGGACGTCCGCCAAAATCGCAGATTTTCAGACCACCCCTCCCCCTGCCCGGGTGTGTCCGAATTTTCAAAAACCACCCCCACCCCCGGATTTCAGCTACTTTTAAGAGTACAAATAAAACCAACTCAAATTCATGGGGGGGGGGGGGGGGGGGGGGGGTAAAAATTGCCAAAATATTGATTACGTAATATGTGAACGACCCCTAGTTACTTAGAATAGACAATAATGAATAATACATTTTGTGTCGAACAAATTTAGCACATCCCGGTAGGTTGTAAACCTACAAACTTCAAGTTAAGTAGCCAAATCCAATCGAATAAGTCTTACTTTTAAGGCAGTAGGAGAATATAGGAGTTTGGAGTTGTGTCTCTGCTCTCATGAGCTGCTCTGAGAACCTACTTCTCGTTCAAAATATAGGAATCTAAACTTACAGAGTAATTCATAATTAGTGTCAAAGAGTTGAAATAAATTATCAATTATGGGACTTTTTTCTTTAATTCTGCCAAAATTTCCGGACGTCTGGAGTTTCAGAAATCCCCTCCCCTTGTCCGAATTTGTCCGAAATTCCAAGACAACCCCCTCCCCATTTCAATTTCAATTTGCAGGTTACTGGGCCGCGCTCAGCCTGTCATTCCGCCAAATCTTTATTTATTTATGTTAATGAACATAATAGCCTGGGGTCCTCAGGTAATTTGCAGGACGTCCTAAGTAGATCATTGTATCACGTGGTGACCCCCACGGTCGCTTCGACGATACAGGGGGAGCCGCGCACTTCGTGCGCGGCGGGTCATACAACGTATGACAAGTAGATCATACTCATAGATGGTCCCTTACTATACATCTTCATGACGGCTCTTACCAATTCGCTCGCCCAAAAGTTATCACGTGACTTTGGTTTTTATGGTTTTGCAGACGAACAAAATGGTTTTAGATAAACCCTAATCCCAACCCTAACCATAACTGATAACTCTGAAGCTTTCCATAACCCTAACCACAACCTTAACCGCACCCGAACAGTAACCCAAGCCCTAAACAATCGAATTCGTGTTTCACTAATAGTAATATAAATATAATACTAGCCTGTCACGTGACCAAAACGCTTTTTTGCCCATATTTCTCCAGGGAAACATTTTTACCCTACGTCATGTGGGGTGATTAACTGTATCACGTCGTGACCCCCATCGTCGTTTCACTGTAGTGGTAGAGTTTCTACGATACAGGGGGAGTGTTAAGTGGCGTACTCGGGTTTCAGCACGACAACTTACTTAACGGCCTATTTAATGCTCCAATTTTCCATGACTTCTAGAGATTATTTATTTATTATATTTCATTAAATTGTGATGGTATTAATTTAACTACGTATAATGGGCTCCTTTTAACTAGAGTATGGAAATTCAGGTTCCGATATTATGGAATACCTCCCGGTTTGAGACTTACTCGGGGCACAGTTCAAACCCAAACTCTCTTTGTACAGATACAATTTTAGGACAGTAATTTCTATTGTAATTATGGACTTCAGAATTTAATGTGAATTTATATCTGGAAGATAACCAATTAAAACAAGTTAATAAAGGGTTGTAAAATAAATATAATTGGGTTAAATTGGACTACAATATTAATTTAACTCTCATATCTCATAACTTAGTCTTAATGTCCATTTACCCCAATAATTGATGTGGTAGCGAATGTGGTGAGGGTGAAGCGATTAAATAGGATGATTCACGAGGTCGCTGTTCCGGTTCTCTCTCTCTCTCTCTCTCTCTGAAGAGATCATATATCAATACAAATTTAATAGACCACACTAATTATACGGAGTATAGGTATTAATTTCCTACTTCTAGATAACTTACGAACTAGAATCACTATAAGTATAATTTACTAACCAAGGAATAAGAATATAAAGTGGCGATCTGGTCTTTTCATATAGTGGAATGTCAACTAAAACTGAACCATCTTGCATGGTCATCTCGAGGATCTAACATAGTGACGAACGGTTCTCGATCGAGGAAGGAGGGGGGAATCAATCTGAAGTAAGATAATTATAAGTACGGAGCGTTTAAGTCGTGACAATAATCAGATTGATTAAGTTAAATTAAGGGAAAATCTATCGTAGGAACCTCTTAATGAAGACGTAATAAACTTACGAAGCAATACGACTGGTGGAGCTTAGGTGAGGACATGCAGAGCAAGTGGGGTGGGTATCACCGTCATATTGCCTGGAAATTAATAACTATTAGAACTAATAATTAGTACACAGGAAATAAATATAATACTACAATCGTCAACGTTACCAAGGGGAAAAGTGCTATGATTATGAACGATGGATTAAGGTTTACGTAACATTTTTACCTCAGGAAAGGAACTCCATAGCCTAATTCTGGAAGGATCTATCGGGAACAGGTAGTACTAGTAGTGCGAGGAATCTGATGAGATATTATGTATATTAACAGCATATTAAGCATTATACGACGGAAATTGACCTAAGTACGAACTAATCTTTAACGTCAACCTTTTGATACGAATGCAATCAATGACAATAACATGATCAAGAACTTAATCTAAATTACGAACCTATAATAGAAATGAGTAACATGTGGAGAGAGAACGGATACAGCAGAGCAAGACCCCGGGCCATGATAGGAACAGGTGAATGCAGAAGGCGAAAGGCGGAAGGCGGCGAGCAGCAGGCGAGCTCCCCTTTTTGTAGACTGCTGGTTGACAGGTCTTTGGGGAGTTGAAGGGGGAGTTGATTCTCATGGCACTTTTGTAACACCTCGGCTAGCTCGTCAACACAATAATCAAAAATCAATGCTGTTAAAATAATTGTAAGTATTCTTTTAACTATCACAATGCTGGCAAGCATAACCGTTGCCCTTATATTCACAACACTATGTACCCCCTATACTATTATATCCCCTTTATTGTTTTCCAGGCATTAAGACTCATCGAAAGTAGTTCAGCAGGTATATTTAAGTTCAAAACATTCTAATTCAATGTTAAAGATGACAGGAATAAGAAATAGTTATGTGGAGGTTTTTAAGAAATTTGCGCAAAATACGCGCCAGCATGTTATACGAAATTAGGTAAAAAACCCAAAATCGCCATATTCAGGTGCCTTAAAAACCATGTTAAAATTGAGTTAGAGATCTGAAACTTTGCAGAGCGTCTAGACCTTGTCCAAATCGACTGTAAAAAAAATTTCATGTTGCAGGAGTATCGGGAAGTGGGTTTTCTGGAACCCCTGTTTTACAACAGATTGTCGTGAAGCTATATATATATCACCTTAATAACACCAGAATGTGTGTGTGTGTGTGTGTCTGTCTGTCTGTCTGTCCGTGTGTAATTTCCGGTCGGTTATACAAAAAAAACGGTAAGAGTTACGGGACTGATTTTTTCGGTATAGTGTCGACAAAACTCTGATGAAGCCCATAGGAAATTTTTTTTTAAATCGGCCGATGGTAAGTGGTTTAATTGATGGTTTTGTACCACAAATGTTACATAAAATTGCTTGAGCAGAACGGCAAGAGTAACGGGGCTTGCTCTCTCTCTCATTACTGTGTAATATGTTATAGCTGCATTTAAGTAGCGTCATAATTGGATTAGCCCGGAAGATACGCTGTAATGTTATACCTTAAGCTTATTAGGGGAGGGGGGACTGTTAGTGTTTGGGGTCTGTTTGGACTGCAGAGAGAGAGAGAGAGAGAGAGAGAGAGAGAGAGAGAGAGAGAGAGAGAGAGTTCATACGACAATGGTATGCGTGTTTTCAAATATAATATGCGGGTGTGGTGCGGAGTTAACAAGGGTTAATTTCTATAACGATTTAAATAAAAATAGAAAGCGGTTCAAGACGGGAGTGATGAGGTGTAATAATCGGTGTTCAGACCTTATGATCATGGAGTGTGGTGCCTCATGGCTAATAATGACTTAATTATCCACAAGAAATAACTGATTATGAGATTATTGTTTAAGAAACTATTGGGTCACCTAATGCGGGTTTTGACTCTGCGGGTAATTACTCCTACCCTTTTTAACTGCGGCAGTGAAATCCCGGCCGTAGGCCGGGTTACACTAGTATATATATATATATGTATAGACGCTTTTGCAGTAAATTGTAGCCTACATTTAAGTGTCCGTAGATTCAAAAGTATAAAAGATACAGTCATTTCGAACCACAGGTTTTAAAGATAATTGTTTATACTTTAGTTTACATTACATCGAAAAATAATTTATCGTCATCATCATCACTTGATGACGTCATCAATTTAAGTGTTTTTAAAACTTGATTTTTGACAAAATAACAACTTTTCAAATCGATTTTAAAGCATTAAGGAGTAATTTTATTCAAAATCTGAGGACATTTTTGTCTTAGATAATTGTTCAAGCATTCTGAAAATCTACCGGAAAGTTTTCCTACCTTGCTCCTTCATAAAGATATTCGCTATTGAAGTTTGTGCTTTTTTGAAGAATAATTTTATAAAAACACAAAAGTTGTGAATTAGTATTCTCTGGTGTTGGGCCATCCCTTGGGTTGTGGAGCTCGATTGTGCTTCCTAAAGGTATAAATTGTGTTATAGGCTAGTTTTAAAGTTGAAAATCGAAAAGTTGCACACGTGGGGACACGTCCAAATTCATTTAAAATAGCTAAAATCACTAAAAATTGTTATTTTCACGATTTTTACCAACTTTGGAGTCCCGTTGTGATCCAAGTTCTTTTTGAAATCTTCTGAAACTTTTCATGCTTATCAAACTATATATTAAATAACACTATGCAAAAATTTATGGTGATTCAATATTTTATGCGCACGCAACGTCCGCTCAAAGTTTGCACGTGCGAAAGGTGAGAATTTTGCTCATTCGTGATTTCGAATATATTCTGCTTTCCCACGATATTAAAATGGCATTATATATGAATTTAATGCCAACTTGAATGAGTAAAAAGTGCTATATTCAGTCTGTTATTGACAGATATGCCTACCTAAACACAAGGAAACGTTTTCAAAGGTAAAATTTCGAAATCGTTGAAATTACCTCCTTATGAAGTTTCGACTGTGTAAATTATCCTGACATTATAATCAAAAAGAGATGATATTTGACCAAAACCCATAATCATGGGTAGAGTGAACCGCTGCCAGTGTCTCTCTTTTCCAAACAAAAGAAAATGATATTAATTTGAGGAACCGTCCGCAAATGCAAATTGATACCGAGAATGAAATCGGTCGCTCGCTTTTCCCATTCATTCACGGCTTACGTATTGTAATAAAGTTTATTGAATGGGAAAAGCGAGCGACCGATTTCATTCTCGGTATCAATTTGCATTTGCGGACGGTTCCTCAAATTAATATCATTTTCTTTTGTTTGGAAAAGAGAGACACTGGCAGCGGTTCACTCTACCCATGATTATGGGTTTTGGTCAAATAAGTTCTAATAAATTTGAAACTTTAACAATCTTCAAGCCACTACTTTTCGCACCGGGAACGTCACAATTCCAAATAACTACTAATTTACAACGGCTTAAAATACTAACTACAACTTCACGCCGTGAGACATTTCAATCATACAAACCTTGATTCACGATGTCAATCCTTCGCAGCTCGGTGAGGCACAGTGGTGCATCTCGCCGATCTACCGAAGGATTGATGCATAACAACAAGACACGCGCTAAAGACGCGCATTTTCTGAGTGATGTTAACGATAGCTTTAAATTCACTGATGTCATTATTATTCAGCGTGACCGGTAATAGTTTAAAAATCAGAAGGAGAAAACACATGTTTAAATTACTAAAAAAGGAGTATCACTTTACAGGATTGAATTTAAATATAGTCATAATAGATAAGAGAGGAATTTGTTTCCCTTTGAATCAATCAAACTAGATGAATTGTTGTAAATACTTAGATCAAACTATCAATCTACAGGCTATCGTCATCTTCAGTGACATAATAGATAAGAGTTTATTAACTATCATGCCAACTTTAGAGACGGTAACCACATTAAACTAAAGTTTTCCCAATCAAAATAAAGGGTTTATACAAAATAAAAGGTTTATGCACTAGACTGTGAGACAATTAACCTTATGCAATGCAGGTTAGTATAACTATAATATCGGACTGAGTTGAAATTTCTGAGAGCATGATACCCCAAAATAAATATATGCCTGTGTCTGGCAATAGCGTTCAGATGGCTTCCGAACTTGTGCGGATAAGATAATATAAAAAATACAAATAAACTATAATAACAATCTGAAAATTAATGTATCAGTACAGATCTTATACTCGAAATCAGGCACTTTCAAAACATTTCTCTTAAATTATCTTTCTTAACACCGTTCAATTGTAACTTTAAATTAAAATATTATGATGATCCGGACGATGATAAATATTAAATTACAACTGATTATATTTATGGATTTCGGCCTGTCGATGCTGGAAGCTGATCAGCTAATCGTTAATCGTTACCATGTGACAAGAATAGTATGATGAACCTCCCAATCAGTATCTATGTATCAAAAGAAAATATTGATCTAATTCAACTCGTCGGGAGCCCTTTTGAAACATCTCGAAGTTAGAGTGCAGAGTGCATGATTACTGATTATCAGCACGATTGGGTGAAACAAAGACGAAACCGTGTGTTGATTAGAATTAAAAGAGGAAGATATTTAGTGATAAATTGTGCACTCTTGCATTTAAGTTTTAATTGTTAGACTTGTTCGATGTAGGGCCTTTAATTTAACCTAATACTAATGCAGTTACTTAATACTTGGTAAGTCTAGGGAAAACAGGTGCTAGTTATCGGAAATGAAATGGAGTCTGTTCCTGATCGAAGTTACATGATGCTGATAGATTTGATGCAGCTCAGCACTCAGCAGCCACTGTCTTCAAATAGAGTGTTCCAGTTCTGCAATCTGCAGTCTCAAATGTTTTCGCCCAGCTTTTCTTTTCATCGTGGTTATAGAAGACAGACCTGAAGAAATACTAGTATAATGATAATATAGGTAACATGTCCAGAATGAGTAAAATTGTATTATCGGCAAATTTACTTATGTGAAAACTCCCAACAGGGTGGCGCTGGCCCAGAAGTAACTGCACACAAGCAACCCTTTAATGATCACGCACGTAATTTGTGTGAAAATATGTAACTCATTTAACGAAGTCAGTGAAAAGAACCTACCTTTATTTACCAATGTCGATTTTTTGCTTGTGATGAAGTAGTCCTCGCAAATGTGAGATATGTATGTAGTTTGTTTTTAAAAGTAGGATTGTAGTCATAGTCGATGTATAGCGACGGTAGTTTACCAGCAGCTCCCTGTACAAATAGAAATGTGGTTTTTATATAATATTACTAGTTAAATTAATGAGTACAATGCAGGAATAAAAAAATGTGTCTTAAATGTTTTATATTAAATGTGTTATAATTATATTAACCACCTTATATTCGTATAATATGTACTCACAAACAATGATAGTCCCAACTGTTTTTAATTGCTTATAATTTAAACCTTCTTATTAAATAATTTAGATGACTGTGTCTGATCTAAAATTGCACGAGAAATAGATAAAATTAGGTCTCAGACAGAACTCGACCGGGATATAACCGGCGCAGCCGGAATACCGGCTGGTATTTGGCGATTTTGTACCGGTACCGGCCGGGATTTTGGTTTTAGCCGGGATTTTTCCAAAATAAATTCAGTTTTTCTCAACGTTAATTTGAGTCCAAAATTAACAAATCTGTGAACATTTTCCTAAAACA